AGTAAATGATAACAAGCGCTGCAAGGCTTAAACAGAAGTCCTAAGAAGTGTAGCTACTGCGGTCCAAAGGTGACCTTTGAGAAAACCATTTTGGCTGAGTGATTAAATGTGAGGATAAATGTACTATAGTGAGATTAGGCATGAATGGGAAGATCAGGAAGTGAAGGCAGACAGGATTTCAAGAATTTAGGAAGAGAGAGAGAACAAGAGTATTAACAAAGATAAAGGTGTTTTAAAAGACAACAGACTTGAGATGTTTCACGCAGAAATCTGGCTTAGAGTGAGACTCCCATTCAAAAAAAAAAAGAAAAGAAATCTGGCTCAGTGGCTCAGCCTGTAATCCCAGCACTTTGGGAGACCGAGGCGAGTGGATTGCCTGAGCCCATGAGACTAGCCTGGGCAATTTGGCAAGACCTCGTCTCTACAATAAATAAAAAATTAGCTGGGCATGGTAGCACACGACTGTAGTTCTGGCTATTTGGAAGGCTGACGCGGAAGGATCACTGGAGCCCAACAAGTCGATGCTGGGGTGGCCATGAGCATGCCACTGCACTCCAGCCTGGGCAATGAGTGAGACTCCAACTCAAAAATTAAAAAAAAAAAAAAATTTTAAGAAGAAACTTTGGGGGGTGGAAAGGAGGAATCAAACTGTCTAAATAAATTTTTCAACACTATTACAAAACGGTTTTGTGACAATACTGACTTACCCTTAAGTCTGCACACTTAGAATAGTCTAACATAGTACAACAGCAGCGAATTTTATAGGAAAGTGTACATTTCACATTTTAAGAACATAGATGCATAAATTCTAAATTTCAAAATACACAGAAGGATCCAGAGTTCTCATATTTTAACAGTGCAGTTCTCGGTAGGCAGATCATAGTAAAGAAACATACAAATAGTTTTAATTTTTTTTTTTTTGAGTTGGAGTCTCATTCATCCAGGCTGGAGTGCAGTAACATGACCACTGCTCACTGCCACCTTGACCTTCTGGGCTCAGGCAATCCTTCCACCTCAGCCTCCTGAGTAGCTGGGACTACAGGCACACAGCACCACATCTGGCTTTTTTGGGGGGTGGGGAGGGGCGGCTAGAGATGAGGTCTTGCTATATTGCTCAGGCTGGTCACCTCCTGGCCTCAAGTGACCCTCTTGCCTCTGTCTCCCAAAGTGCTGAGATTACAGGCATGAGCCACTATGCCAGGCCATTTTAATTTCTAATTAACATAAATTGTACTCCTCCATACTTGGTTCTCAGTTCATTCTTATTCCCTGATTGGGACTGAAGTCCAGGAAAAGCAGAAGATAACCTGAATTCCACGATGTTTTTCCTTTCCTTCTCCTCCTCTTCCAGTAGAGATATTATTGATATACAATGTCTATAAACTTACAAAGGAAAGACACCTCTGCTTTTAGGCTGTTTGGCATTCCAGAAGCAATCATTCCCATCTGCATTATGTAGTGGGTTTCAGAAAGACTGAAGCTCTCCTGAGTGGCCCTCTTAATTACTATCTGGAGTGTACTGTCAGTGCTAAACATAACTCTTTCATAAAATAGACAATGTATTCTAAAACCAGTAAAATTTTGTTTACATATCAAAGAAATTACGTCAGATAGGAGAAAGAGTAAGAGCTATTCTACTACTCTGAAGATCTAAAAACTCCTCATGTAACTTTTTAGCAGCCTAAAAGTATCTTGAAAGGAATGGCCCTGGCTGAGACAGAAATAGTCATGTCTAGGAGGGAATAGGAGAGGTATTTATCATTCCATTCCCAGCATCCATATGTAACTAGTTTAGTGATCTTGCTTAAGATAATCTTTAATATTCTCTGTTGGCCTAAGTCAACTTTTGATAAGAAGTTTTTAAGAGGAAAAAAGATGTTCAGATTGGAATCACTTCAAGAAACCATAAAATTATAGTTTCTCTTGAAGACAGAAAAACTGTAACGATGATGAAATTAAAATATTATGTCAAATTTGAGAAAATAATTACAAAACAAAGGTTAAAAGATTATGGTTATCAGTTTTAGTATTTATTGAAATATGGAAGACAAGGAAAATATCTCTCAAACTACAAAAACAAATCCTGCACCTCTGCTAAATGTAAAATGAATTTTGAGATATTTGCTTTACATGGCAGTGAATCCAAAAGTTAACTGAATGCAAATTTACCAAAACAGTGCCAATTTAATATTTACAAAAATGTTCTTACTTGCCTTAAATATTTGGGAAAAAATGGTTTTTACACTCAGGAACACTAATGAAATACCTTAAGGATTTAACCTAAAAAATAAAATCTTCCCTATCCTCCACAACACCCCCTCCAAAAGTTACAGAATGGATTAAAAATGAATACATGTGGAAACTAACATAATATTTCCAACAAAAATACATATGTATGCACAGTATTGTGCTAGATCAACCTAATCTTTAAAGTTAGCAGCCTTGGTGACAAGGAAGATAGTGAATATGGCTTTAGTAAAGCTTGCAACTAAGTATCATAAATGTTAATTCTTTTGCAAGTGAACCTGAGTATGGAATATATATTACTCATATAGCTAAAAGGGTAAACAAAAATGGGGGGAAAAAAGCACTGAAGCAGATACCACTGAGTTATCTTAGTTTTTATGTAAGGGTCTATATAAACATTTAATAATTTATATAGCATTTATTCTAGCAGGATATGACCATATAGAAACTATATCTTAAGTGCTTTATTGTTCTGGTCCAAGAAACCGGCAATAAAAGCAAAAAACTTGTATTCAAATAAGCAACTGGAATGTACTAACTAGAAAACTATTAATATAATGCAATATTAAAATAGAAACTTTTTATATGTAACAAAGGTAGTCAACAAGTTGTCAGATTGCATCTGAAGAGGATTTAAAAATTATAACCCGTAAGAAAAGGAACACAAGCATTATTGAAGGCAATAACAAGGCTGTATCTTGAAATCTCAGGCCCACTGATTTATACTTTACCTCCACAGATGTATGCATTTTTTCAAACTATGGATAAGTTTAACTGTAGGTTACACAGAAAACTATACCTAAAAACAACCACTATGGTTATTTTAGATATGCCTTCCTTTAAGGCTTATATTTTGGAGGGATACCCTAACAACATTTTCTTACAATGTGACCTCTATGCAACTATGTGTATGCTACTGGAAAATAGGAAATAAAACATCTCGTTAGATGTATCACCCTTCAATTAAAAAAGGAAAAAAAACAGAAAAGCATTTTGACCACATCCTTTCCATTTCTCAACACTGGTTTGTTAAGAACTTTTGTCCCCCAAAAAGATAGGTACACATTCATAAATTAGCTTAAAATAGAAGAATAGGTGGAGAGCACGATAAGACAGTGACATATAAATTAAAACCCCAATAACATCATAATGATTTATACCTTCCCTATCCCATGAGACTTCCTATGTAGCAAACATGGATTTCCTGCAAATCATCAAGATTTCCTCTGATATTTGCCTACCCATTTATTAAACTGGGAACCAGGACTGACATCACTACTGCAATTAATTTTTATTTGCTCTAGTGAAATGCCTCTTCCTAAATGGCTTCTCATTCTTCATCATATAAGCAGTTTTTATGGGTACCACAAATAAGGCCAGAACAGAAACTATTGAAATGGAAACCAGCAACAATCGCTCAAAATGGCAGTGAAAAGAATCCCAGTTTAAGTCATCAACCGATGGATGGGCCCAGAATAATACCAGAACAAACAGAACAGAATTTGCCATGAGCAGAGTTCCTGATATCAACGCATACACCAAAGATTTTTGTTTGACTTTTTTTTTTTTTTTTTTTTTTTTGAGTTGGAGTCTCACTCTGTCGCCCAGATTGGAGTGCAGCGACCGCTCCCAGCCACTGCAACCTCGACCTGCTAGGCTCTGGCAATCCTTCCACCTCAGCCTTCCGAGTAGCCGGAATTACAGGCACGTGCTACCATACCCAGCTGATTTTTTTTTTTTTTTATTTATTGTAGAGATGAGGTCTCGCTAAATTGCCCGGGCAGGTCTCGAACCCACGGGCTCAGGCAATCCACTGACCTCAGCCTCCCAAAGCGCGGGATTATAGGCTGAGCCACCGAACCCAGCTTTGTTTGACTTTTAATTACAATTGAGGAAGCAGTGTGAAATAGTGCTGGAGTCCATTATTAGATTTGTTTTTACTCATCTTCAGTTAGGCACTGGAAATCCTGTTTCCTACCACAATTTACTTTCTAGAGCTTTTTGAAAAGGAAGTACTCCAAGTAGTTTGCCTTGCTAGGATAGGAAGGGAATCCTGAGAAAGATGAGGTACTACATAGCCTTTTATCAGTTTTATCTCTGTATATGGCAGCTGAGTCATTGTCATTGCCCTTATTTTACAATTTTGTTTTTGCCGTATTTTTCCCGTGAGAAAAATGTAAGAGTATTTTAATTGCTCACAATTAAACTTTATACTAAAGATTTTTCACTCAGCTGTTAATAAGTACAGCACAATTACTTATTTGTAGGAAAATTTTCTAAATTTCTTATCATTCCACACATAACAGAAAATTTATGTTAGGGCTACATAATCTGGCCACATAACTTCATTAGTTAGAAGGGTTGGATATCATTAACAAATCTTGTTTCTCCCAACTTTCTAAAACTGTTTATATTACCTAAACTGTTTTCATAATGTTGAGTATAAATATTTTTAAATGTATTCCAGGAAGTAGAGCTAAGAAGTTTCACATATTGATCTTATTCAGCAATTTAAGTAAAGTATGCAAAATATGATATACATATATACATTCCCATACACACACACACACACACACACGCGCGCGCGCACTTTCTTAACTTGGTTTATGGAAATGCCTGCACAGTGTGGGGAATTTAAATATTTACCAGATTTGAATACATACATTTGCATTCTATTACCACTCTAAATGGCTATATCAAGAGAGAGAATCATATCAAACAAATGATTTAAATGAATTGTCAGTTTGCCTTTGCAGACCCAACAGAAAACATATTTATTACTATGAACCTTTATTAAGTGGCTCACATTTCAGTATAAATCACACTAAAAATATTTTTTAAAAGCTATTTACACTATAGTGCTGACACATTTAAAGTGGGGGAAAAATTGGTATAAATAAGCTCTATGGAAAAGCCTTAAGTTGTCAAAAAAGAATTCTGGCTCATATTACAAAAAAAAAAAAAAAAAAATTTTATATATATATGTTAATGTCAGCTCTATTCTAAAACCTACAACTCCAACTCAAATGATTTTTTAAAGACTCCTTTATATTTCAACCTGCAATGTTTACAGTGCATCTGGCCCTAAGTGCTTGATACTTCACAGTTATGGACAGGCACTGAGGAATGTTACAAAGCTACATAAACTATATTTTGTAACAGACTTGGGAGCAAGTCCTTGGCTTGCTTTCAGAATTCATGAATCTTTATTACATTATTAAATTATTTTTGAAGAATTTTAAATGATATATACATTTGATCAACACAAAATGTCATCTTCTTTTCTATCTTGATTTGAATGTGCTGAACTATGTTGCCTTGTATCAACTAGACTTATGAGACTTCCAGGACACAATTCTTCCTTTAAATCTTTGTTGCTGTTTTCAAATTTAGAATCCACGTCTATCTTAAATTCTGTAAATTGAACATGATCCAACTTTGCTTTAACATTCTTGCCATCCATATTATTCAGCGCTCTAGTCTTTTCAGGAATATTAACATTCACAGGTTCTTCCTTGATTCTTAGAGACGCAATAGGTTCATGTTTAATCTGCTGTAATGCATACTTAGAATGAAGTTTGTTTGAAAAAACAGAATCCAAGGAGCCTTTGCTTACAGCACAAATCATGTTGTCAGTGTGCTGTCCAAGAACTGATGATGTGGAATTTGTTGATGTGTCTGTTTCATGAGTAGCTGTATTCTGAGAAGTGTCCTCCTCTGAGTGATACAATTTGAGCCGAACATGCCATGCTAAACTGCACACAGCTGAAACTGTCTTGAACTGATGAACAACATTCCTTGGAATAAAATAAATGTCATTATCATACAGCTGAATCCTGGCATAGCGAATGCCTTCCCTCCTCAGTTGATTAAGTTTTGCATCATCGACCCATTGGACACACTAAAAAAAGAAACAAGGGATACAAATAAGTCTTTTCCATATTAGAAACTACACCAAAGACAATAAATGTATAAAATATACCTGGGATAGTGGAGGTTCATGTAAATCTAACTGCATTCGTTGAACTACTTCTAAGAAATCTTCAGCATGAAAACATATTACATCTTTGGTTATTCGGGGTTGATTAGGCCTAAAAATGAAAATGAGAAAATGAAGAATCTACCTTTAATTTTACACTCTGTTAAGTGCTTATTAAATTCAAAGCAAAAATAGTTTATGGTCAATACTGTCTTATAAGTAAAGTATTGTTGTACAAATAAAGCTAAGTTGTAACTGAAAACTATTTTACATATTTAAGGAACAGGCTGACACCATGAGTTTCAACTTAAACAGATTAAAAACTACTCACTTTATTATAACTATTTGTCACAAGAGTTTGAAAAATTAAAAATGATTTGAACTGGTAAATTATGCAAACCAAGAAAACTAAGTATTTTGTTTTACAGGCAGGGTCAATACTTCATGTAAGTTTAAGTGCTAAGGTTGAAAATATTACACTAGTGAACCTTGAACAATTATCATAATACTATAAGAAACGGATGGCAGTTGTGGGAAACTGCAGGGGGGGCTCGCCTCATCAACAAGGGTACCTGCATAATGAACATTTGTATACCTAATCCTGAATTGTAAATAAAATTTTTTTAAAATACTACATTAAAAAATACATTTTTACAGAGGTGTCACAAAGATTTTGGAGTGAAATTCCAAGGAATATAAATAAATACAAAGAAAATCACACCAAGGCAAATCATATCCAAATTTCTGAAAACCAGTGATAAACAGAAAGCCTGAAAATAATGCATTACATTACATATAGGGAAAGAAGGATAAGAATGATTGCACACTTCTCATCAAAACAACACAAGCCAGATGAGAATGGGATATTTTTAAAGTACTGAAAGCAAAATTCAACCTAGAATTCTATAGCCACCAAAAGTATCCTTAAAAAATGTGAAATAACATTTTCAGACAAACAAAAGCTGAGAGACTCTCACCAGAAAACCAGCATAACAGAGAATGTTAAAGGAATTTTTTCAGGCTGAAGGAAAATGATGCTTAGATGAAAATGTAGATCTATGAAAAGGAATGTACAACACACATAAAAGTAAACGTGAAAGATAGTTTATTCTCATTTTTTAAACCTCCTTAAAGCAAAGGTAATAACATACTGTGGGGCTTATAGCATATATAAAAAAAAATGACAATAATTAGCACAAAGGCCAGAAATGGGAGAAAGAGAATAAATAGAAGTATACTGTTGAAAGGTTCTTACACATTATACATAAAGATATAATACTATTTTAAAGTAGACTGTGATAAGTTTAGAGCAATTAAATAAATAAAACACAGCTATACTATAGCTAGAGTAAGCAGATAGTGGAGGTAAAATGGAATGCTAACAAGAAAAGAGGGGAAAAGGAATAAAGAACAGAAGAGGCAAATTGGAAGCAAGATAGTAAATTTAAATCCAAATTTATTTATAGTCATATTAAATATAAATGAACTACATACACCAATTGAAAGAGAGAGACTGTTGCTGGGTTAAAAAGAAAAAAAAAGCCAAATCCATCTTCATGATACCTACATGGAACAATAATAAGCAAAAAGAAAAAGAATACACATTATAAGAAAGCAGAAATGGCTGAATTAACCTCAGACAAAGTACACTTCAGGACAAGGAATATTACCAAGGATATAAAGGGCATTTTATAATGATAAAGGGTTCAATTCATCAAGAAGAAATAATTCTAAATGTGTAGTTGCCTAGTGACATATCTTAACAATGAGCAACCTTCAAAATACTATGCTAGGTAAAATAAGTCAATCACGAAAGATCACATTATATAACCATTTACACAAAATATTCAGAATAGACAAATAAATACAGACAGAAAGTAAATTAGTGGTTGCCTGGGGCTGAGGAGATAGAAGACTGTGGGGGTAACAGCTAAAGGTACAGTTTATTTGAGGTGATAGAAATATTCTATGGTTGCACAATTCTGTGAATGTACTAAAAAACCATTGAATTGTACACTTTAAGGGGTGAACTGCATGGTATCTGAATTATATCTCAATAAAGCTATTACAAAAGAAAAAATACACAAAGCAAAAACTAAAAAACTGCTGGGCACAGTGGCTCACATCTGTAATCCCAGCACTTTGGGAGGCAGAGACGAGAGTACTGCCTGAGTACAGCAGTTCGAGACCAGCCTGGGCAAATTGGCAAGACCTCGTCTCTACAGTAAATTTTTTTTAAAAATTAGCTGGGGCATGGTGGCATGCACCTGTAGTCCCAGCTACTTGGAAGGCTGAGGCAGAAGGATCATCTGAGCCCAGCAGGCTGAGACTGCAGTGGCGGTTGTGAGCAGCATGATACTGCACTCTAGCCTAGGCGACAGAGTATGACTCCTACTCAAAAAAAAAAAAAAAAAAAACTAGAAAAACTGAAAGGAGAAATAGACAAACTCAATGTTAAAGTTGGAAATTAAGGAGACAAAAATCAGTGAAGATGCTGAAGAATTCAACTACACTATTAACAAAGTTGACTTAACTGGCATTTATAGCATACAACAGCAAAATACAACAATCTTTTAAGTGGACATAGAACACCTATAAACAACAGCAAAATAATCATTCTTTTAAGTGGACATAGAACATCCATCAAGATAATCAATAAAACAAACCCCAAGAAATTAAGAAGGACTGAAATCATACAGAAAATGTTCTCTGACCACAGGAAATTAAATTAGAAATAAGGCTGTTACGGTGGCTCATGCCCATAAGCTCAGCATTTTCAGAGGCTGAAGCGGGAGGATTACTTGAGTCCAGGAGTTTGAGATCAGCTTGGGCAACATAGTTAAGACCTCATATTCCCACAAAAAATCAAAAATTTAACCAGGCATGGTGGCATGCACCTATAGTCCTAGCAACTCGGTAGGCTGAGAAGGAAGGATTACCAGAGACCAGGAAATAGATCAAGGCTGTGGTGAGCCATGATTGTGCCACTGCACTCTAGCCTGAGTGACAGAGTTGAGACTCTGCCTTAAAAAAAACAAACCAAAAACACCAGACACACACAAAAAACTCCTCAAAACTGGAACCTAAACAACACTTCTTTTCAATAAACCATGGATTGTTAAAAAAAGAAATCAAACAGAATTAGAAATATCCTGAACTATTTTCTAGTTTCACAGTCATATTTTAATTCTTTACTACAGAAATCAATTGTTTTGAAAATGGAAAAAGTGATATTCTGAACTGAATAATAATAATAACAATGCAACATTAGTTTCAAATATTTATATTAGAGAAGAGGTTTTAAATACTTATATTAGAGAAGAAAGGCCTCCAATCATCTAAGCTTTCAACTTAAGCTAGAAAAGGAACAAATTCTTTTCTTAAAAAGAAGAAAAGGCAAGGCACGGTGGCTCAAGCGTGTAATCCCAGCACTTTGAGAAGCCGAGGCGAGTGGATTGCCTGAGCCCCCAGGTTCAAGACCAGCCTGCGGCAATATGGTGAGACCTCATCTCTACAATAAATAAAAAAATTAGCCTGTAGTTCCGGCTACTTGGAAGGCTGAAGCAGAAGGATGGCCGGAGCTCAGCAGGTCGACGCTGGGGTGGCCCTGAGTGTGCCACTACACTCCAGCCTGGGCGTTGGAGTGAGACTCCAACCTTAAAAAAAAGACCAGGCACAGTGGTTCACGCCTATAATCCCAGCAATTTGGGAGGCCAAGGTGGGAAGACTGCTTGAGCCTAGGAGTTTGAGATCAGATTAAGCAACTTAGTGAGACCTTGTCTGTACAAAACATCAGAGAATGAGCCTGGCATGGTGATATATGCCTGTACCCCAGCTACTGGAGAGACCGAAGTGGAAGGATCGCATGAGCCCAGGAGGTTGAGGCTGCAGTGAACCAGGAATGTCCCTCTGCACTTCAGCCTGGGTGACAGAGTGAGACTCTGACTTAAATAAACTAAAAAATTGAAAGGAAAAAAAAAAATCAAAGAAATGTCTGTTTGAAAAGATCAATAAACAAACTTGGGCAACACTTAGTCACATAAACACAAAATCGTTAACAATATTAACAAATTGAATCCAGCACTACATATAATGTATTATCATAAATCATCACATGTATTGTTATATATTTTATAATAAAGATGTCATCTATGTCATCTATATATCTAATTTATATACACATACATGGCTATCCTACATCATTTATGTATATATTTTACATATGTAAAATGTATATACATATGTATATAAGCATATATATATAATACAGAATGACTGAGAGGGATGTATATGTGTATAACAAAGTTCCTTGACTTAGGATGAGGTTATGTCCCAATAAACACATTGTAAGTGAAAAAATGTCTTACGTAGAAAATGCATCATAAATTAAAACTATCCTAAGTCCCTTGCCTGACGAGGAGATTACAGTTTCTAGTGGATGCATACAGCTTTCGCACTATCATAAAGTTGAAAACTCAAAGCATCATAGGTCAGGGAGCACCTGTATATTATATAACAATTATAATATATATCATATATACAATAAAACTGTATAGAGGTTCTTAATCCCAGGAAAAGCAATGGAATTATAGAATGACAGGCTCTTAAAGTATATATCTAATTTTTTAAGAAACTGCAGAACTTTTCTATAGTTCCCTCAGCAGTATATAAAAGTTGTTTAGTCCATATTCATGTGAGTTTTTGCTATTGTCTTTTTTTTTTAAGTTCTTTTAGTGGGTGTGTAATGTTATCTTATTATAGATTTAATTTGCATTTCCTGTACGGTAAAATTATATTGAACATCTCTAATATGCTTATTGGCCATTTGGGTATCTTCTTTTGTAAAATGAATGTTCAAATCCTTTGTCCAGTTTAATTGGGTTGTTTGCTTTCTTATTTTTAAATTGTAATAGTTCTTTATATAGATGGACACAAATGATATATATATAGAGATGTATCTACACAGATATGTGGCTGGTTTATAACTTGCCTTTTCGAAAAATCTGTAACTTTCTTTTTCATTATCTTAACAGTATCATTGAAGAGTAGTTTTAATTTTGATGATGTCCAAGTTTATCAAGGTTTTCTTTTATAGTTTATGAAATCTTTGCC